GGGTGACCAGAGCAGGGCTCTGAGTGCATCATGTCTTTGAAGTGACCCTCAGAGAAGCTGCCCAGGTGAATTCTCTAGTGGATCTAAGGCTGGATTTCTGAGACTTGTCAAGGTAGCTACTGTGTACCTGGGTTATATGTGTGTTCAGGAGTATATTCAGATAGATCTGGTCTTTTAACGGTTACAAACTGTTCCTGTAAGGTTATGTTTTGTGTGTAATCCATCTATATATATTTAAATATGGAGAATCCACTATAACGCATGAGGTCAGAGCCAGTGACTCAGACACTGAGAACTGAGCTGGCTTCAGAGCTATAAATGTCAGTGCTACGGCTTGAGCTTGTAGAACAAATGGTGGGGGATGAACAGGCTTTGGCATTTCAAGAATATTAGGTAATGATATCTGACTGGAGTTGATGGTTCAGTCCATTAGATACCCAGAGGGAGTTCAGGTCTCTGGACTGGATTATTTTGTATTATTGATGGTGAGTGTCCAAATAGAAATAGGAAGCCATTTGCTGTGCAGATTGTCCCTAAAGGAGAATTTTGGCAAAAATGGTTTTGTCCCAGGTGCCCACAGCCTATCTAGCCTGCGGATCTTATTCCAACAGAGTACTTCCATCTGTAAACAGGGTGTATTTCACTTCTGTCAGGGGATCCATTTTTAGAACAATTCGTCCCAGTATACCATGTGGCATGCGGGCAGTTAGGTCTCAATTTAAGATGAGCTTGTCAGCTTTCAAGATCAGAAGGACAGTGGCTGTTAGAGCACACTTTTGCTGTTAGGCAAAAGGGGGAGGTAGCCCTTAGTGACCAGGTCTATGTATTAGCACAGGTAGCCATTGGGCCCTCCCAGGGGCTGACAGTCTAAGTAAGAATCATTGTTTTGTGAACTCAAGGATCCAAATTTTAAAGAAGCCAGAAGCTCTAAGAAATTTATGGAATTTTCTTCTTATAACCAGTATCTTCCAGATATTGCAGCTGAGTTTTTGTGTCTTTCCAGCAGTTTGGAAGTGTTCTTAGTCAGAAGTACTATTTAAAGAGAGAATAAATACAAATGTCAAATAAATAAAAATGATCGACATTATTGGTCATTTAAGAAGTGTAAAGTAAAACAACACTGAAATTCCATGAACAAATCGCTGTCATCAAGAAGTCAACCAGTAACAAATTCTGGAGGGTCTGTGAGGAAAATGAATGCTTCTCCAATGTTGATGGGACTATAGACTGGTTCAACCACTATTGAAATCCTTGTAGAGCTTCCTGAAAAAACTAGGAGTAGAGGTTCCAGTCAACCCAACTATTTCCTTCCTGGGTATTTTTCCAGAAGAACTGAAAACATTATATCATAATAATATATGTGCACCTATGTTTATAGAAGCAATTTGACATAGCTAAATCTTGGAAACAACCCACATGTCCATCAACTGAGGGCTGGATAAAAAAAGATGTGGTATTTTTATAGAATGGAGTATTACTCAGCTACAAAAATGAAACTTGAGGCTTTTATAAGTATATTAGTGCAACTAGAGACCATACTCAAAAGTAAAGTAAATCAGACCCATATGTATAACCATCATATTGTCTCACTAGTTTAAGAAACTTAAAGAGTAAATAAAATCTGAAAGGTATAATTATAATATGAAAGGGAAAGAAACTTTTCATTGGGAAAGAACAACTGAGATGAGGGAAAGGAAAAAAGAAAGAAGGAAGGGAAAAAGAAATATTCATGTATATACACAGAATAGCTTAGATAATTATCCTGCTAATTTCTTCTGGTTTATTGAAGGGAGCAATTAATGCTAAAGTGCTTTTTTCTCTCTGCTCAGTTTTTCATAACTGTTTTTGACCAATTTCACATGCTTATATCTGGTAATCTGAAAAACTAATTTGAATACAACTATATGCAATATAACAACCATTGTTCAATTCTTATTATTTTGTTTAGTGAAATTCTGTACCATTTTTAATTTTTTTCTCTCTTTTTTTTAATAGAAATTAGGCAGATCAATTTATTTTTGGATATTTTACAAGTATAATTTTAGAAGGGCTATATGACAACTTTCAGCATCAACTGCCAACTCTACACACATTTAACAGAAAAAGTATCTACTCTTGGCCCTTGAATACAGGCAAAGTCTTCTACTGCATAATAAATGCTAGAGATGCAGTCAGATTTGAGGGCATAATAAAGGAGTAAGATGTTCCTCTCAACGACTATGTTATCCATAAATACAAACATACATTCATGGCTACTAGGATCACAAGTAATTTGCAGAGTAATACCTACTTCAAAAGCTAAAACCAGTAAGACAGTGTTCAAATGGGTGTTTTTATCCATAGAGTTAACAACCACAAACTCCTCTGATCCAACTTTATGAGGTGTGGGGAACTATGGACAAGGGACACAGGAAAGACTGGCAGTGCATGCTGAGTTGACCATGTTGGTGGTTACCCAGAACAGGAGGATGCTTTACAGAATTTACATCGTCCTACAGTGACTCACTGAAAAGGGCATCAAGGATGGCTGATTCATCAGTCCTGAACACCATTTAGTAAGTGCCGATGGTAGGCTTCAAGAACACGCCAGGAGGAGGGGAGGGAGGAAAATGACTGAGAACAAAGGACATTAAAAGTGGAGGAAATGTTTGAATGCTGGGGACATGCTTTGGTAACCTCTGGACCATGCCTGCCATGGGTGACCTGCTTCTGATCACCAAACACTGAGTTTGAAACACAGTGTAAGGAACCATTTTGGCTTGGATAAAATACCACTGTATTTGGATCAAATACATGTCTGATTTAGTAAAAAGCATCATTATTTAGAGGTATACTTTTGTTAAATCAAGTAAAAACAACAACTAATTCTATCTGTAGACACAGTTAACAAGTAGAGGCCTTTCTGGGCATGCCTTGCTCAATGGTTAAGATATATTTTTTAGGTCAGCAGCACAAGATTACTGAACAACTTGTAGACCACAAACATACTCCTTTGAATTCATCAAAACAGTCCTATTTCAACCTTGCCAAGGGGCTGCAGTTGTTTTACGTAGTTGTAGCACTCAAAAATGAAATGCTTCTCAAAACTCCACTACCCAAAGTTGGAATCACTGGACATGAGACAGCTATTTTAGACTCCGACAGCCAGTTTTCACAAAGTATTTATCTCCAACTTCAGTTTACTTTAACATTAACTATGGTAAGCAGGATGGAATTTCTCAAACCACAACTTTGAAATAACAGAAATGGACACTTAAGCTCATCTCATCAAAATCTTCAAGCACTGATCAAAGCGTTTGCAAAAATGTCTTCAATAAGTTGAGCTTTGATACAGAACAAAAAAATAGAAAAATTTTAAACCTCTATCCTAAGCACCAATAATGGAGGCTAAGTAATTATACCTCCAATCCTTCCTGACAAGGCTTTCCTAAAGGAGAAGCCTGAGTTTTGAAGCACTGTGACTACAGAAGGCAGGTTGGTTTAATGAGGAAATTTACTTTTGATAAAAAGACAGTCAATACCTTGCTCACGGCACTTACGTAGTGTCTCACAGATCCTCAACAAGTTTTGAGGTAGGTTAAATATTAGCATTGTATTCTACAAACTCAAACCTAAGCAGATGCCATGTCACCTGCCATGAGCCACATGAGACCTCTCATGGCCAGGAATAACATGGTCACTCTGCCCATCTTGTCTGACACTTGGATTTAATGGTGATAGCTTGCAAATGTTTATGTAAAAGCCAAAGACTTTATAAAAAAATTCCAACTTTGGGATATTTCATAGTTCTTAAACCAATGGCATATGTATACATGGTGGGGAACAACCTATTTGTTCTCATTGCAAATGCACGTGTCTATGTATCATTGGTCCTTAAAGTCACAAAGGAGCACAATACTGATTTTGTTGCTTTTCTGCTTCTCAGGTGGGCAGGGATTTGCCAGCCAAGAGTGCACGTGTTAGGTCCCAGGTACTAGCCAGTATGATCTGAAATTGGTTATACAAATGGGCCAAACCCACACAGGATGCCTGGACCCAAAAGGAGGTGAGGTCTTGTGCAAGTCAAGTGAAGAACAATACAATACTGTCTCTACCAACCCCATCATGCCACAACCTTAGCGCTCTGAAGAGCTCTGAATGTGTCCCAGGAATGCCTTAAGGTTCTCACTGATTAGATAAACCAAAAGTAAAATGAAATAGATGTTTATTTATTAACGTGGCATCTGTAGACAATAACATCTAGATACTTTTAATACAAGTTTTACCTATCCTATGAGTCTAATTGTCACAGACCTCTAAGCTCACTGTAAGTCCTTCAAATCATTCACCAGAATTCAGTTTATCCTGACAAAGATCCCTGGGCAGTCTTCTCAACTATTTGTTTCATTACAAAGTTCCATTTATTTAAACAATTGCCAAATGTAAGTAAAGAATACAGGAGTGAGTGATTAACAACTGAGAAATCAGAAAGAATAGACCATTACTGTATTACAAAGCAGTGTTCAGCACAGCAAGTTTAGAGTAAGAACAGAGACACTGGTGCTTTCAGATGCACTCAACAGCCAATACTGTGAGTCAAAGAAGCAAAGAAAAAAGGAAAAAGGGGGGGGGGGGCGGAGGGCAGGGAAAGAAGGCAGAGTATGAAAGCCTTTTATGCTATGTCCCCAAAGGTGATATGGAAGTAAAAAATACATACATTTAAAAATTGATATGAATTCCAATTTTTGTAAAAGTAAAAAGGAAATGTTCTGCATAGGACAAAGGTACACCTAAGCCACATCGTATCTGCACAAGGCCACTGAATTTCATAGATGTGAGGAACAAATGAAGCTTAATTCTACAGCAGGCTGAGCAAAGGTTTCCATCTGGTATTCTGTAAGCCCAAGACTGCAAACTGCTCTTATTACACAAAAATTTTAATGATCGTTTTGTGTAGGAACTTTTGTGCTTTGGGTTGGCACATTATATATTTTCTAATTTTTGAAATTAATGCAGATAAATTGTGCAAAACTATTGTATTTACAAAAATGGCACAGAAGTGAATCCAACGGTTGATGCGCATGCATACTTCATTCACAGCTTACATGGAGAGTGCTCTAATGCTACAGAACTAAGAATGTGGGCTTCAGTGGCAGCTGGTAAGCACCAAAGTCACAGAGTTACACCAGAAGGGCAAATATTGCCCAAGTAAAACGCTATTGCTACAGCTGGAATGGGTTTAAGGCCATTCAAGTTCATGCAAACCTCTGAGTTCCCATCTTTGTGCCTGATTATGTGACCTTTCTTCTAGCTTGTGGTCTTAAACTTGTTTTACAAAATCTAAAAGGAAATACAGAAGAAATCATACAATAGAGGTTATGTTAAATAGGAGTAACATACAAGGCTATCACTAAGGTGAAGGGAGCCAAAACAAACTTGTAGAACTTGCTTGTTACTCATTGGAACCAGCTCTACACTAAGGATAGGTGATATGTACACTTATGTTCAAGTAGATGATGTGTGTCACTCAGTGTGTCCTTCCCGTCAGTGCACTGGTGAGCTACTCAGAACCTCTACACGTGTCTATGCCCTACACTGGCAGTGCTTACTACCGCTGCCTCCAAAGCTGTCAGTTTCAAATGACTTATGAATGAAAGGAAGTAAAAAGTGGGTAAGTAATAGATTAAGGAGGAATAAAGGGAATTAGAAGATCCATGCACTTTAGCTCTTTTAATCAGCCAGCCAGCTTGCTCGTGACAAGGGATGGTTACCGTTGCGGAAGGTCCTGTGGAGTGGGAATGTGGTCACCAGTGACCTCTGTCTTATCTGGGGTCGCAGTGGGCAGTTGCTTGTTCTTCATCTTTGCCTTAGCCATGTTGTAATCCCCAGAGTCAAAGTATTTTTGCCCTTTCTGCAATCGTTTCCTTAAAAAATCGGAACCTCTGGGCTTCTGTCCCAGGTGAGGATACCTTGCTTTTAGCTTTGCTTCTTCGGCTTTTTCTGGGCTGGTCACTTTATCTTCCATTTCCTTCTGCTCCTCGGCGGACGCCGCCTCCGGGACCTCGGCGGACATCACGCTCCCTCTGCGGGCCAGGCGCCAGAGGAGTGGCGAAGAAGCTTTTTTCTCTCTTTAAAAAATAAAATAAAATATAGAAGTGTAGTCGGTGATAGTGTCAATTTGGCTGAATCAGCTCCGCAGGTGCACACCCTGAGAGGTGAGGGACCCACCCCACAGGGCAGGGATGTCCCTCCCTAGGGCACCATGGGGCCCACCCTAGAGTGACTCAGCACCAAAAGGGACATAAAGTGGTTGAGAAAGGAGTGGAGGGTCCACTTCCTCAGAGGAACTTCCATCTTCACAGTTGGCTTGGTTTTTGTCACCTGGCTTGTGGCACAGACTCTTTGGCCTCTGGTTTGGATCCTTCAACTTCTATCGCAGATGCCTCTTCAGCTTCTATCACAGATTCTTCAGCCTTCCATCGCAGACCCTTCTGCTGATTGATAGAGACTTGCATGGAACACTGCAGTGAGCTTCAGACCTTGGGACTGAATCCTTCAGTGTCGGCTGTGCAGATGCCCTCTGCATGCTTCCTCATCCAACTCTGCAGTTGATCATCATGAGCCAATCTTGTAATTTCTTATGCATTTGCACATCTTGTGTTATATCTATTCCTTGTATTATATCTGTTCCTCTAGTAAAACCTTAATACAACAAGCAAAACTAAAAGTGGTTCAATCTGTGGGAAGAGGGAACAAGTTTTTGAACCTCTAAGAGACTGAGTGCAGGACAGTTGCAAAGACAGGCTGGCTGACAGGAGCCAATCAAAGGCAGAAGAAGGTATATTTTTTAGATCCAGGTGGGTATATCAGCAGGCTATAGATGGCAAAAGACAGAGACAATTGAGACATGGCCAGCTCAGGATTTTAAATTGACTTCACAAGCAAAAGAGGCATATTTTAGCAGTTTGACAGTCTACAGACATTTTGTGATTTTGAAACCTCTGCATGTATGGTTGACTTTCTACCTGAGTCTCTCATGGCATGAGACAATGCTTGATGTAGGTAGGGATTGCTTTGAAGATGGAGCTTGCAGGGACAGAATTGTGGGGCTGGAAGGCACAGAGACATAGGCTGTTTCAGCTTGGCTGAATCTGTTTTCAGAACCTCCCTGAAAATAGTGTGAGATTTTCCCAACCCTTGTGGCCACTGGGTGATGAGTTGGGAAAAGCAGAATGGAAGGCGATGGCTGCGTTGTTGATGGCACAGAGATCTTGCCCAGGTGATTGACAGTCTATCAGGCTGCTGGTGGATGGATGCCTGTTTATGTTTCCTGTGACATCTGATGGCAATGGAGGTCACAGTGAGGTGGCACAGTTGATAGCCAGGCTCAGAGAAGAACCTTTAGTGTACGCCTCTGGAAGGAGACTTTCAGAGCCTCACGATTCAGTTATCTCTTTCAAGCTGATGCAGTCATCATCTTCCTCTCAGGAAACAGTCAAAGTTGAAAGTGCAGGGCTAAATGAGAGGGAGGCTGACTGGCTTGGCACAAGGAGATGCCCTCCGAGGCTGTAAGTCTGTGTCTGGTGGAAGAGGCAAGAGTCCCATTGGCCCTGGTAACGGTAACTTTTTGACCAGGAGAACTTTTAAAGGCAGAGAGTTCTGTTTCATTGTCTTCTAAGAACACAGATCTGCTCGTGACTTATGCAATGACCTTAGGCTCTTGGGGGCTCAATTTCATAGAGTGTGGTCTGTCCTGTTCAGGCTTAACAGAGCACAACTCACTTGTCAGAGATGACAGTCCAATTTTTTTTCCCAGTCAAAATGTGGGACTCAGAAGAAAATGACAGTCATTTAGGGTAGATATTAGATGATGCCATCTGACCAGGATAGGAATGTAAGCAGAAGGTTCTCAAGGGAGGACTTCTGTGGCCAAATGCAGGCAATGACTGGCTGGAACCTGCACAGTTGGCTGGAAGTAGATGAGTCAGGAATGGGAAGTGAAGAGATAGGTGTTGGTGGCAACTGCAGCAGATGATAAGGTTGACAGGGAGGAGTTCTCGTGAAGAATGGGCCTATTTTTACTTTTTTTTCCCCCTTGGAGACACAGGGAGTGGTTTGGTTTCATCTTGAATTCCACAAAATCCCTCATTTCTGCAGCCAGGGACTGTGGGTTTTGACTAATTAGTTCCCATCTCTGACTTCTTACATCTGTGTTCTGTACCCTTGAATGAATGCACAACAGAAAAAGGGTGGGTGCCCCTCAGAAAGAAACCATTCAGGGGCCAGTGAGATGGCTCAGTGGTATAAGTGCTTCCCTGGCAAGCACAAGGGCCTGAGTTCAATCCCTGGTTCAGAAAAGAGAGAGAGAGAGAAAGAGAGAGAGAGAGAAAGAGAGAGAGGGAGAGGGAG